CAGCTGTCACACTTGCTTGATGTACATAACGTCTATTTTCGCTTACTCGCTTTGACACGGATGCCGTGCCGGACAACGTTTGCATTTAGACAAATGTTATGTTGTTTCATTATTGTGCTTAACATTTATATTATTATCAAAATCTCAAGTTGTATTCACAAATTATATATGCGTTCGCCATTGTAAGTTTTTTCTCTCTCTCTCTCTCTCACGTAGATCACGATGATGGCGGACTCGTTGCGTGCTTCTGCTTGTCCCGTATAGTACCGTCTTGTGTTGAACTCGTGACTATTTTCAAACGCCGGTGACAACTGATTTTAATTATTGTTAACAATAAAAAAGCGGCACCTGTTCATATATTATATATATATAGACATGCTGTGCGAGAAGAGCGCCTGGACAGCCTCTACGGGCATACGCTCGAACTTGAGCCTACCCCACGGGGATTTTAGCTTTGCTGGTTTTTTTTTTTTTTTTTTTTCTTTTTTTTTTTTTTTTTTCTTTTTTTTTTTTTTTTTTTTTTTTTTTTTTCTTTCTTTCTTGTGGCCATTATAAATGTATAAATTAAAAATTGTAAAAAAAAGTTTGTTTAAGAATTGCTACACTAAAGTTAGCAATTTCTTTAAACAAAACTTTTTTTACAATTTTTTATTATTACATTATATAATGGCAACAACAAACCACAAAGCTAAATCCCCGTGGGGTAGCTCAGTCGAGCTGCTGCCCGTAGAGGCTGTCAGGCCTTTCTTCTCCACACATGTCCTTAAAACTCACCAGACAGGACGGCCAGCATCCTATGATCCGGGATACACAGCACGCTTATCACCACACTCATTGCGAATTTATACTTCCCTCCCCCGAAACCAAGGGGAGGGTTGCGAGTATAGCCGTTGCCGTCTTCGCAAGCAACACGACCAAGGCAAGGAAGAAGAATACAGAACACTCGCCAGTCATGCAGCCCGCCGCAAAAGTTATAGTGGTCCACCACTGACACCCACAATCATAGACGCTGCAACATCTCCAATCTAGCTCAACATTTAAAAAAAACGCACCAGCGGTTACGAGTACCCAAAGAAAGGCTGAGCCGTGTGTTCCGCAAACTGCGCAACCTGAGTATAAGCTTCGAAGGTACAGACTCACAAATCTCAAGACCCCGGTCAGTCTCATTTTACACAGCGACAACCACACCGCAGCGGATTTTCAGTGCAGGGGCATTGAAAAAATTTCTCGGACCTCCCCGCAACATCACACACGATCCGCCAACAGAAAGAAAAGAGAAGCCATTGGATCACAATCTAAACACCATCCAACCATTACGCGACTCAATCTACTGCGGTCGAAACTACCGGGAGGGATAGAGACCATCACAATAACCGGCCAACATGGAATCAACGCCGAAAGCTTTTCCTAGCCAGACGACCCCAGCCGGTAGCGACGCATTTCGATTCAGCTTCTTTAAACACACTTTACTATACTCTAGCCACCGCGCTAGTACTACTACCTATAACAGATTAGCTCTTCCCCAGTTAACAGCGGCGCAACGACTCTTCTCGGTGTCCACTCGACGGGTCAGCGACCCCTAACGTGTGTTCACTTACACAGCCCTGTTGTGCATCTTAAAATTATTAAAACTCGTATTGAAAACTGACGACGAACCAGCAGATTCGTTTCGAAAATCCACGCGTGAGCTGCTCAACTTCGGACGCCGATAACCCGTGGAATTCAGCGGCGCTGCGCGGAAACACTCCAAATGAGTCCCACAAGCGTACTATCGAAAGGCGCGCTAATGTGTAAAAGTTCGCCAGTCACGTCGCTGGCATTTAAAGCGATAGGTAGACTCGCTGAAGGGAATGTTTACTGCCATACAACCTGTACTTACTGTATAACAAATCGTTCCTATACCGCACACGTAGTCTTACCAGATACCTAAATTTAATTGTTATATCATTAATTACACATCACGCCCTCATAAAATTTTGAACCGGGCGCCCATGCACACCAGCGACCGCTGCTGCCACCCGAATAAGTTGCTGTATAATTGGACCATTTATTTTGCACGTTACGACGAGGGCTAATCCACAAAGTGCCAATGATATTTATACCTACAAATGCCCTATTTAAATCGAACGATATTCATTTTAGGGCAAATTCTATCCATATTATAACTGAAAAAACTATTGTCGTTTATAAGATACTTACAATCTTTGCTTTTAAAAATTAAAGCGGTACAGTAGCCTCTAGTCGATTTTACTGCATCCACACTGCTACTATACTTATAACAAAATCGTCGCTCCATACCTACATGTATTTTGTCACCAGAAGTAGCTTAATTAATTATTTTACACATCAACGCGCTACGAAATTTGAACCAGGCGCCCATGGACCACCCGGCGCGCGACCGCTGCCTGCCACTGAAAAAGTTGCGTATTTGCATTTTTATTTTGCAGGTAAGATGACGCAGGAGCAATCACAAAAGTGCAATCTATATCCTTCCTAATACCTAACTGCTATTTAACCGAACGATATTCATTTTCGGGGCAAATTTATCCTATTACTAACTGAAACTATATGTCCCGTTTATAAGATATTACAATCCTTTTGCTTCTTATGAAATAAATAAGAAATACCCTCGCCCGGTCTGTAGCCCTTGGCTGCGAAAGTGCGCGCTTCGTATCCGCGCAACTTCTCAGCATCAGTGCGCTTTGAGTTTGGCGCGCACCGTTCGTTTGCTAAATTAAACTGTAGTCGTTAGTTTTTAAACATAAAAAATATATTTCTAATGGGTGATATTGACATGAAAACTTTTTATTGTACGCGCAATTATGAGTAACCTAAATTAGCTGAAAATAACCCTAGAACCTAGAGGCTACTTGTTCCTTTAGATAACATAAGAAACACCCTCGATCTGTAGCTTTTGCCTGAAAAAGCGCCGTTTTGCTGCCCAACCTTATGCAGATGTGCGCTTGACGTGGCCCGCCACCATCGTCCTGTAATCAAAACTGAGTCGTTAGTTTTTAAAACATTTTTTAATTAATATTTCT